TTGTAGTTAACAGTCCAGTTCTTATCCTACAGCACCACACCAGTAATACTGTAATTATCATAAAGATATATATCTTCTTCTGTGTTTTAATAAAGGAACATCTGTGCCTTACCAGATATTTGGGAGTAAAAGGAACTTCCTCTGAGCCTCATTTACCTCCCCTGCAAAATGGGAAAATAGCATTCCCACTTCCCTTAGTTTTCTAATGTAGCGGTCACAAATACCACATGTGAGGGGCTTTAACAAGCAGATTCTCTCACAGTGTAGGCTGCCCCAAGTCCAAATTTGGGGCACTGGCTCTAGAGGAAAGCTTTCTGTCTCTTTTGTCATCTATCTTCCCCTGGGTCCAAGAGTTTGGCATTACCGTGACCTTGGTCCACTCCCAGCTCTTCCTTTTTGGTGGAACTAGGTTCCTCCAAACTCTGTTCTCTTGTTTAATAACTTTTATATCTCAAAAGAGATAATCTCAAAATACAACTTAACCCTATAGATTGTGTCATCCTGTCTTGTTAACATAATTGCCCCTACTCCTGGCCTCAGTATCCTCATGTTGTTAAGTGCCATCAAGTCGGTTCCAACCCACAAAAACCCTGTATAGGGTTTCTGAGGAGCAGCTGGTGAGATTGAACCACCAACCTTGCGGTTCAAATTGACTTTGCAGTCTAGCATATTAACCCACAGTGCCACACCAGGTCTCCCATTAACAACACTGTTGTTGTTGTTAAGTGCCGTAGAGTCGATTCCAACCCATAGCAACCCTGTATAGGGTTTCCAAAGAGCAGCTGGTGAGCTTGAACCGCCGACCTTGCAGTTCAAACGGCTTTGCAGTCTGGCGCATTAACCCACAGTGCCACAGTACCCAGCAAAGAATTTGCCCCCTCCCCCCTTTTTGTATGGGTTCTTTTTCTTAGTCTTTTGCAGTAGTGGTCCTATGCAGTATTTCTCCTTTTGTGACTGACTAATTTCACTCAGTATAATGTCCTTAAGTTTCATCCATGTTATATGGTGGCTTGCGAGCTTCCTTGTTGTTATTCAAGGTAGCATAATATTCCATGGTGTGTATGTACCACAGTTTGTTTATCCATTCTTCAGTTGATGGGCACTCAGGCTCTCTCCATCTTTTTGCTATTGTAAATAGTGCTGCTGTGAACATTGGTGTGCATATATCTACTTGTATTATGGCTCGTATTTCTTGTGGGAAAATACCAAGTAAAGGAGTTGCTGGATCATAAGGTATTTCTATTTCCAACCTTCTGAGGAAGCACCATATTGCTTTCCAGAGTGGCTGGACTGCTTTTGCAATCCCACCAGCAATGCAGGAGTGTCCCAATCTCTCCGCATCCTCGCCAGCATTTATTGTCCTCTACTTTTTTGATCTTGCTGGTGTGAGATGATATCTCATTGTTGAAAACATTTATTCTTAATATACAACTTTCTGACTTTTCGATATGTTGTTGTTAAGTACTGTTTTGTTGATGCTGACTCATAGCGACCCTATATAGGGTTTCCGAGGAATAGCTGATGAGTGAACTGCTGATGTTGTAGTTCAAACCGACCTTGCAGTTGAATGCTTATCCTATGGCACCACACCAGGACTCCACTTTCTAATTTAAAGAACATTTATAATTGTTTGTTTTTAAACCAGGTAGACCATTCATTAGTTCAGAGTTCACATTCATAGTGCAAAGTTCCTCTCCCATCTTAAATTCTTTGCCTCCCAAGTTCTTCTCCAGAGGCAATTAATAATACCAATTTTTTTTATCCTTTGGGAGATATTGTATATATGTCCAACACACATACATGTTTCTGTCCATCTTTTTTTTTTTTAAACTTTTAGCAGATCATGAGTTTTACATTCAGTAAATAATATACTTTGCTTCTTTACAGTGATTTAGTTCCCTCAGTTTTTATCTCTGTTTACTCTATCATGTTCTGCTCTGTGTTTCTTGCTACCTTCATCTTTCTTCTAACCTCCCTCTTGTTGTATATTCCCTGCCCTATCACCCATGTTAGCATGTATCTACCCTCTAGCCTGTGAATAATTTTCGCACCCCCTCCCCCATAACCATCATAGCCGGTTTCTTTTGTTAAAAAAAACTTAACTTTTTACAATGCTGATCTCAACAATATTTGTCTTTTTGTGATTGACTATTTTCACTCAGTATAATGTCCTCCCGGTTCATCCATGTTGTGAGGTGTTTTGCAGATTCATTGTTATTCTTCAGCATTGCATAGTATTAAATATTAAAGTTTGATTAACCATTTTTCTGTTGATAGACATTTAGGATGGCTGCATCTTTTTGATGTGTCTCTTGTAAACAACATATTGAAGGATCCTGTTTTCTTATCCATTCTGCTCTGTTTCTTGACCGGTGCATTGAATTCACTTATAATCAGCATAATTCTCGATAGGTATGAATTGATTGCTGTCGGGTTTTTTTTTTTTTTTTTTTTTTTTTTTTTTTTTGTTTTTTTTTTTTTTTTTTTTTTTTTTGGTATTATTGTTGGTTTCTTTGTTCCACACAATTTTTTACTCTAAGTTCATTTTGTTTGTAGGTTTTCTTTTCATTTTCATTTCTGTTTTGTTAATGTTTACTAAATATTTAAAATTTTGAAGTACAGGTGTATTAATTTTCAGGATAAATTACAGGTTATTTTGTAAATTATTTTTTCCTTATATAAGATAGTCTGTTTCATTTTGAAATCTTGACTTGTCATTTGGAAGTTCTGTATCTACAGTATTCCCTCTTTGCTTTGTGTTGACTTTATTATAAATTGGTATCTCTGATTCCCTATTTTCAGTACTGAAGGTTTGTTTTATGTTAAATACTTGTATGGATTGAGTTCTGGGTGGTATTGTCGTGAATAGTAATCTCAGGTTATTGTCTACTGTTGTTGGTTATCAGTCCAAAAAACACCCTTTAGAAGTTTTTATAAAGTTGGTTTGGTCATTACAAATTCCTTCAGGACATTACCAGGAAATGTCCTAATTTTGCCATCATATTTGAGGGACAGCTTTGTTGAGTATATGATTTTTGATTCTTGCTTAGCAGTTTTTTTCTTTCAGAGTTTTGTATATGTTGTCTTCTTTGCCTACATGGTTTCTGCTGAGATACCAGAGCTTAGTCTTATTGGTTCTCCTTTATAGGTAACCGTTTTTCCTGAGCTGTCTCAGAATTCTTTCTTTGTCTTTGGTTTTGGAAAGTGATTATGATAAGTCTTGATTTTCTTTTGGGATCTCTCTTGTTTGGAGTTTGTTCAGCTTGAATGGTGAGCAGTTTTGGCAACAGATGGTGGCCTGGCAGAGCAGATTCACACAGGCAGTCTTCTTGTCTTTTATGATGTTAGGCAAGATTTCTTCCAACAACTCTTTTGACAGTTTTCTCTGATTTTTATTGTCTCTTCCTGCTCTGGAATTCCAATTACCTGTAAGTTGTTCCTCTTCATGGTATCCCACATAACTCTTAGGCTTTTTTCAGAATTTTTCTTTCTTTTTTGTGATTGTTCTTCTAGCATACTAGTATTGAGAGATTTATCTTCAAGTTCACTAATTCAGGCTTCCATTGCTTTGAATCTACTGGCGTGGCTCCCAGTCACATGGCTCTGAGGTCCCAGAGAGCAGAGTTTGTGCTGGGGATAGATGAGGATGGGAGCTGGCCAGCCCTCTAGCTATCATGGGGGAATAAAAATGAATTGCACTTTTCCTGTTGCCTGTGTGAATCTGCTCTGCCAGGCCATCATCTGTTGCCAAAGCTGTTCACCATTCAACAGTGTCCCTGTCTCACTTGTCTCTGCTCAACTTCTATTCCCAGCAAGCATTCAAACTACTCTTCTAAACTTTCCTCTGAAGTCAATATGCCTGAATTTTCATCTGTGTTTCATTCGGTCGCTCGTATCTTTATGTGGCGTCCTGGTGTGGCATTGTGGGTTAATATGCTGTACTGCAAAGTTGGTTTGATCCACACATGGATCAAGCTCACCAGCTGCTCCTTGGAAACCTTGTACAGGGTTGGGTCACTACGGGTCAGAATCCACTGGACTGCACTTAACAACAGTCTTTGTTGTAGAGGGTCTGTGTAGTACATTTGCCTAGTCTGCTATCTTGCCAGAAGTCTCTCTGTCCTTTTTTATTAAAAATATATATAGAGAAAAATACATAGATCATAAATGTATAGCTTGATGGGTTTTCCTAAACTTAGTCTAATTGTAACCAATTTCTAAGTCAAGTGCTTAGTTTGAACCCTAGAAAACCTGTTCATTCTTCCAGTCACAGTTCTCCCATCCAACTAAACACTTACTACTATTTTAACAGCATTTTTGCCTATTGGTATAGTGCTGTGAGATAATGCACCAGACAGAGTGCAAGGTCTATTTGAACTGCAAGGTCAGTGTTTCAAACTCACTATCTACTCCTTGGAAACCCTACACAGAGTTGCTATGAGTCAGAACTGACTCAGTGTCACTTTACAATAATACTTCATAGTAGATTTCTCCTCATTATATAAAAAGCATGACTCTTCAGCTTAATGCATGTGATCCAGTGAGTTCTGTCATTGGAAGTTTCTGGAGAAATTTTCGTATTCTATGTGGTTAAACCAAGCTAGAAAGATGAAAATTTCATCAGGTGTCACAAATAATGTTAGTATGAGCATACCTTTCACAGCAGATTGAACAGACTTTATTTTCATCCATCTGTCTATTTATTGAGTACCTATTAATGTGTCAAGCCCTTTTCTGAGTGTTTAGGATGTGTCAGTGAACGCAACAAAGATTCCTATCCCCATGGAGTCACATTCTAGTTGGAGGAGAAAGATACTAAACTAATTCAGTAAACAAGTGTACTCTTGGCATGCTAGAAAGCAATAGAAAATACAGGAAAAAGGAAAATGGAGCAGGATAAGAAGGGGATTAAGAGTAAGAGTTCAGGTTACTGTTTTTAAAAGGGTTATTAGGGTAGGCCTCACTGAGAGGGTGACATTAGCCAAGATTTGAAGGATGTGAGGAAACTAGCCATGTAAATACCTGGGAAAGAACATCCCTGGAGGCAGAGACAGCCAGTGACAAGGCCCTGAGGCAGGAGAATGTCTGCAGTGTTCAGAGAATAGCAAAGAGGTCTGTGTGGCTTCATTTTGAGTGAGGGAGAGGGAACTAAGAGATAGGCCAGAGTGTTTCCCTTAAAATGCTTCCAGGGCATCAGGCAGAGATTGATTCTGGGTGGTGTACATAGTTAATGCACGTGGTTGTTAGCTAAAAGGTTGGGGATTCAAGTTTACATAGAGACACCTCAGAAGAAAGGCCTGGAGAGCTACTTCTGCAAAATCAGCTATTGAAAACCCTGTAGAGCACAGTTCTTTCTACTCAGACACACACAGGATCACCTTGAGTCCAAGCTGACTCAACTGCTACTGTTGTGCTAAATTACGCATGTGAGGAGAGACGAGCCATATTTAGGAATGAGGTCTCACATCATGTAGAGGGGCTGGTGGTGTGGGCATGTCTTAATGGAATGGAGGACATGGCCGAGCTGCTCCTTCCTCATTCTGTAGCAGTTGGGGTTCCTGTGATCTAGAAGCTGATGAGCCAGCCCCTAATTGAGCCTCTCTCTTATTGCCTTTCTGACTGATCTTTCTCTTACCTACAGCCTCATATACCAGTAACTTGGCTTACAACTTCTATAGTCACAAGCTCTATGCTGAGGCCTGTGCCATCTCTGATCCCTTCTGTCAGCACTTGGGCTTGGCTAAGCCAAACACCTATCCTGAGGTGCCACCTGAGAAGGTAGGAGGGAATGAGAAGGACAGGAAAGGAGGGAGGTATGGGTTGGGGGGATAGGGGGCTTGAGTAGCAGGAGAGGACCTCGTCAGGAGCTGGCTGTTGGCATCAGTATCTGGTACAGTATATTTCCCAAACCTCATCTGTACTGTTATTTGTTACTGACTTAATGGTGGTGGTGGTTGTGTGCCATGGAATTGGTTCCAACTCATAACGACCCTGCATAGGGTTTCCAAGGTTGTAAATCTTTATGGGACCTGAAAGCCTCCTCTTTCTCCCTCAGAACGGCTGGTAGTTTTGAACTGCTGACCTTGAGGTTAGCAGCCTGACTTGTAATCTATACGCTACCAGAGCTCTTTTACTGACTTAATACTTTTCTTTAATTGACTCACTTGTCCTAAGTCAGTGGTTCTCAACCTGGCCGCCAGGCACGTTAGAATCTCTGGAATAAATGTAGAAAAAATTAAGGTTTGCTTTAGACCAATTGCATCAGAATCTCTGGTGTTGGACCCCAGGCTTGTGAAGCTTTAAAAGGTTCCCCAGGTGGTCCTTCTTGAAGTCAGGGTGAGAATCACTGTCTTCAATAAGATTACCCAGGAAATCATGGATTGGTAGGGTGTCATTCCTGAGTTTAGTGATAATCTCTAAGTAATTTACACGGCGGTGTGGCATTAGACCAGATTTCCTGGTCATCACCATGGAGAACGTAGTACGAGGGACAAGAGTGGCAGTAGGGCCACCAGGCTGTTACAGGAACCTTAGCAGGAAAGGGTGGGTGTGAAGCAGCTGTTCTAGGGATGGAAAGATGTGGATGTGTATAAGAACTTAAGGATTAACTTGGTAGTGACTGACTTGAGGGAGGGAGGAGGAAAAGCCAAAGATGGCTTGCATTTCTGACTCAGGAGGAGGTGCCATTGCTGAGAAGTAGATTACAGGAGCAGGAATAGATTTTTAGGAGTGCAAACAAAAAGGGAATTACGGGCATGAGGTAGATGAAAATTTCTGAAATTGAGAATTCCCAGGGTATTTAGTTCTTAATTAGCTAATCTCCTGCCTTGGGCCTGGTTATGGGGTTGAAAACAGGAGAACCACAGCCTACCCTCCGCTATGTGTGTCTCTGTGTGTGTCTGTGTATATAAGTACTCACACTGTACAAATTTGTTGGCTCCTCTTGTTCCCATTTTCTAGTTGCATAGGTGCTTCCGGCTGCATGTGGAGAGTTTGAAGAAACTGGGTAAGCAGGCCCAGGGCTGCAATATGGTGACTTTGTGGCTGGCAGCCCTGCGCCCCTGTGGCACCAAACACATGACTGAACCAGTCAACTTCTGGGTTCGGGTCAAGATGGATGCGGCCAGGGCTGGAGACAAGGAGATACAGCTGAAGTGAGTCTGTGGGAAGGGACACAACCACATTTTCCTTTGGATAGTTTGGTTTTATGTATCCACGATCATGTCCTCCCATCCTTATGTCTGCAAAAGGCACTGATTGCTTCGTTCCTCAGTTATGCACACAGGTGCCGGGTCTGTGCCAGCCAGCATGCTGGATACTGGTACTGGTGATAGGCTGGAGATTCAGACAGTGCTCTTGCCTTCATGAAGTTTATTTTGTGACTTGGGGAGACATTAACAAAACAAGTTCTATATAAACAAGTTTTCTGTAAACATAGAAATAAGATACTATATGTCTTTGTGCTATAGAACAAAAAACCATTTTTTTTAAGTGAAGGTTTATAGACCAGATCATCAGCTTTAATATTCAACAAATCATACACTTTGTTTCATCTCAATGATTGCAATGCCCTCCATGCAACAACAGTTATCCCACTTCCTCCCTGTAGTTTCTGTTTGCATTCCACCCTCCTTCCCATCCCTTCTCAACTTTGTCTTTAGTATAATGTTGTCCTTTTGATTTTGAATGATTGACCATGGTGAACATACCGTACTCGTGTTGTTGTCCCCCTTGTATGCCTATTTATTGTTTGGCTGAAAGTTGGGCCGAGAGGGTGAGTTCCTTTCCAGACCTGAGGGGTAGCTGAGGTCCATTGTCTCAGGTTCCTCCAGTCTCTTTCTGACCAATAAGCGCAGTCTGTTTTTCATTTTATTTAATAATTTTGAGTATTGTAATGCATATTCTGATGCTTTATCTGGGACTTTCTAATGCAATACCTTTCAGAAAAGTTAATAGAGGTAACCACGCACCATCTAGTTCTTCTGGTCTCAGAGTCGTGGAGACTGATGTTCACATGTTCCATTAGGTCACTGGACTGATTGTTTCTAAGCCTCTTCAATTCTCATCACTCTTCTTCAGCACCTTAGGTGGCTGCTCGTGAGCTTTTAAGATCCCAGATGCTACTCACCAAAGTAGGATGTAGAACATTGTTTTTGTGGACCATGTTATGCCAGTGGCGTCTCCTGAGACTGTGGTCCTGAGCTCCCAGCCCCATGTTGCCTGATGTTTGATAATATCTAAGAAGTGTTCATTTTGCCCCCTGTATGCTCCATCACATACATTCATAGTTGTGTTTTCAAGAGAGGTAAATACCCATGTACAAATAAATACTCTCTTTTAAACTCATAGATTTGTGGGATATATATATATATATATATATTTATATATATGAAAGGTCTTTTTGAAAAAGTGATGTGTGAGATGTGTCCTGATGATATGGAGCAATCCACCATTTTAATATTTAATATCAGGGAAGGAAAGTCCAGGCAGAGGGAATACAAGCATGCCATGTTTACGAAAGTCAGCCTAGCTGGATGGCAGTGAAACGGCATAGGGTGGAGAGCAGTGTGGAATAAGGTAGTCAAGGTTGATAGGCTAGATCACATAGGGTTTTTAGAGACTGGGGAGGGAGGGGGTTTGGATAGGATTCCTACTGGAAGCCTACTGCATTGTATTACACAGAGGGACTCCTGGAAACTCACGGAGCTCTCAGCAAGCCAAGGCTGGGGGCCACACTCCTGGGGAGAGTGTTTCCATGGGCTTCGCCTATTGATGAGCCTCCCCTCTTGCAGGACGTTGCGTGACAGCTTGAGTGGCTGGGACCTGGACACTCTGGGCTTTCTGCTCAGAGAGGAGCTGCGGGCCTACAAGGCGGTACGGGCTGACACTGGGCAGGAACGGTTCAATGTCATCTGTGACCTGTTGGAGCTGAGTCCTGAGGATACACCCACCGGGACTTGGGCACGAGCCACCCACCTGGTGGAATTGGCTCAGGTGCTCTGCTATCATGACTTTGCCCAGCAGACCGACTGGTGAGCAGGAATAGCTGGGGAGGCCACTATTGTTCCTTGCCCCAAGCCCTCTTTCCCCTTTTGTACCTGGTTTCTTTCTGTACATTCCTAAGTGTTCCCTTCATTTTGGGGGCATGGGAGCTCAATCAAAGGGTAAGACCAGCTGTTCTGCATAAGGCCCTTCCCAGGACACCGTGGCAGGTGTTCATAGTGGGGCGAGCTTCAGTGTGTTCTTTCCTGCAGCTCTGCCCTTGATGCTATCCGGGAAGCACTGCAGCTTCTGGAATCTGTGAGGCCCGAGAGCCAGGCCGAAGATCAGCTTCTGGATGATAAAGCCCAGGCCCTGCTGTGGCTCTACATCTGTACCTTGGAGGCCAAAATGCAGGAAGTGAGCATGGCTGCCATGGGGCCAGGAAGTGAGCATTCTGCCATGAGGCAGAGCTGGGCCTCAGGAAACTGGGAGCACCCCATTTCTTACCCTGATGATGGTCCCTTCCAGGGTATTGAGCGAGATCGAAGAGCCCAGGCCCCGTGTAACCTGGAAGAATTTGAAGTCAATGACCTGAACTATGAAGATAGACTCCAGGAAGACCGTTTCCTGTACAGTAACATTGCCTTCAATCTGGCTGCAGATGCTGGTGAGGGTAGTAAGGTCATCTGTGGTGGGATGGGAGGGCCCCCCCCCCCATGGCTTCCTAAGCAAAACAGTGTGGAGAGGCTTGCCTTAGGGAGGGTGGTGCGGGTTGGCGCAAAAGGCAGAGGATGATATGGAGAAAGGTGAGTTTTCCCCAGTTGGCCCATTCTGAGGAAGACTGATCCCATTCTTCTGACTTACAGCTCGGTCCAAATGCCTGGACCAGGCCCTGGTCCTGTGGAAGAAGGTGCTGACAAGGGGGCAAGCCCCTGCTGTGCGGTGTCTCCAGCAGACAGCAGCCTCACTGCAGATCCTAGCAACACTCTATCAGCTGCTGGCGAAGGTAATGAAGGGGGTCATACTTCTAGACTACTTCTAGCACCAGGGGCCTGGGAAGCTGCCTCAGCCCTAGATTTGAGTCTTGGCTCTATCAGAAACCTAATTTATGAACTTGAACAAGCAACCTAACTTATGGGAATCTTGGTTTCCTCATTATAAAATCTGGATTAGCATTGCTCTGAGGACTAGGAGATGTAAGCCTGTTGGCACAGTGCCTGGCACATACGAAGTACTCGGTAAATCCTGGCTATTGATGATGATTGGCATCTAGGTTTTAAAACAGAAGAGGGTCAGGGTGGCTGATGCTTGCTTTGTCTGTGTAGCCATGTTGTTGTGTTCAGGGCCTGGGGGACAGACAGTAGAAATGGAGGTGTGAGCAGGATTGGGGAAAAACCGCTGCTTCTGGCTGACCAGCCCCTACAGGCTCTGGAGGTCTTCCTGCTTCTACGGACTGCCTCCAAGAGACTAGAGGACCCTGCCAAGGCCGCTGGCTCCTCCTGCCATATCACCCAGCTTCTCCTGTCGCTTGGCTGTCCCAGCTATGCCCAGGTGAGTGACTGGCCAGTCTGGCATGGAGGCTGCAGGGGAGCCTTATGGGCCCATCTTCGAAACATACCCTTTTCCTTTCCCCCATTTTTCAAGGCCTAACTCAATTGTCTCTCCTCTCTAAAGCATCCTTTCTTTCAAGGGCAGAACCAGTCACTTTCCCTGTCTCTTCTCTCCCTACCACCCACCAAACCACTAGAGAGCATTTGTAGCATTATAATAATACTACACCTGCCTGCTTCCCCACTGCATTATAAGCTATTAGGAGACTGGGCCTGTTTACTCTTGATTCAGCTTTGTCTTTCTAGCACAGTAGCTAATTAATCCAAAGGTGTTAAATGAACATTCAAGTGAGTGAATAATTCCTAGATCAATTGCAGTATTTGAAATAGCTTAATATTTCAGTGTACATGTTCAGGATTTTACTTGTGAATGCTTTAAAATGTAACATGTAAAGAGTATGACTGGCTGGGTCCCATCAGAGCAAACCCCCTTCCAAGATTAAGACTCAATGGGAATACACGCTTTGATTGGTAACCATGTTGGTCACCGATAAGGGGAAGTGAGGGAAAAACAGCAATGAAGCTTGCAGGCTAAGCCCTACCATGTTCAACAGACCCCTGTGAATCCAGGTGGAGACCTGATTGGCCAGCAGTGTAGCAAGATCTGGGGACTTTTGGGCCCAGAGTCAGTGACATAGCCACAGAGGACTAGAGTGGAGAGTGAAGCATTCAGCTGATAAGAAGAGAGGGCATATGCATAAGAACACCCACACTTGCAGATAATACCCACTTGACCTGGCTTCAATGACTGGATGATCAGAGCTCAACTAAAAGAAGAAAGAGGAAAAAATTGTAATCTGATATAATTTAATGAACTTGACCTTCATCTATGGATGCAATAGCTCAAAAGAGGGAACAAATCTTTACAGCAATGATCATTCCCACCCTCTCCATACACAGAGTAGATAGGGATGGGCAACGTGCACATGGGCTACCCAAAATGGGGGCCTACAAAGGCAAGAAGTGACTGGCTTACTACAAGCTTTCAAGAGGGAACCTATATCCAGAGGGTGGGGAGGAAGGTAAAATCTCCACTGAACAGTATCCAATCTGTCTAGGCGGGGCTGATGAAATGAAATGCGGATAGGTCTCTTTGTGATACAATAGTGAGTAATTGTTATCAGGACTGATTGTGAGGGTTGGAAATGTAAAGGTAGACATTTTGTAGCAAAAGGAGGGGAGTGATTAACTTTTCAGTCTAGGAGCGGAGGTCCCTAGGACCATCAAGGGAGAAGAGCGGAGAGTGGGACCCTACCCAGAGAAGCAGTGATGCCTGAGATGGAGGCAGAGACAAGGACTTGGAGCCATGGAGCAGCAGACTTTAGACCCAGAGAGGGAGAGGGGCTGTGTGCTGCTGGGGGGGTGAGGGGCAGGCTTGTAGTATATACGCTGTGGTTGGTTGATGATGCATGGAGGGGATTGTAACCATAGCAGTGAAACGATATATGATAGGATGAATGTAAAACTAATGTTCTCCCATGTAAACTATCACATAATTCACAATAAAACATTAAAAAAAAAAAAAAGTATGACTGGCTGCCTCTCCTCGGCAGTGTGCTGTTCTTTCAGCCTCTGACTGTTTCCTCAGTTATTCCTGACAGAAGCAGAATCAAGCTTGAAGCTTCTCGATGATCATACGTCTGACACATACTTGCTCCTTGCCATGACCTGTGATCTACTTCGAAGTAAACTCTACTGTACTACCCAGAAGGTATTTCTCTTTATTCATTCCTATAGGGTCCTGGGAACAGAAGTATCTTGGAATTTTCTGGCTTCTGCAATTTCCCTGGAGCTAGTAATTTTCCTGTTGTTGGAAAGCAGTAATAATATTTTCTAGTTGTTCTTCATTAGTCCTCCTCTAGTAGAGATATTCTTTTGTCATCTTTTTCTGTTTCCTCAGGAGCATAGTCTGTCTTCTGACCAGAAACTGGCATGGTAGTCATTCTGGGAAGGAACTGGGGCCCCAGACTAGAAATCCATTGGAATCCAAAAGACCTGAGTTTTCTCAAAAAAATCTTGGTCAAGTTTTGAACCCTGTCTAGAGAATACTAGACTCTAGTATTCGCTACAGCTTTTGTAATTCTCAAAAGCAAGGTTAGATGATCCCCAAGGACATCACAAGCCTTTGAAATACTTGTCTGACTCCACTACTGTTCTCCCAGGTGACTGAGGGTGTTTCTCTGCTGCTGTCTGTGCTTCGGGATCCTGCCCTCCAGAAGTCATCTAAGGCTTGGTACTTGCTGCGTGTCCAGGCACTGCAGTTGGTGGCAGTGTACCTTAGCCTCTCCTCCACCAGTCTCCCTCTCTCCTTAGGGGAGCAGCTGTGTGCCCAAGGTGACAATGGGTATTGTTTTGTCCTATCTGTTCTCTGCCCTCATCTCTACTGTCTAGCTATATGGACTAGCTATATGGACTGGTGGTGGCTGGGTGCCATGCAGTTGGTTCTGACTCCGAGGCTGTAAATCTTTACAGGAGTAGAACGCCTCATCTTTCTCCCACAGAACAGCTGGTAGTTTCGAACTGCTGACCTTGTGGTTTGCAGCCCAAATAGTAACCACTATGCTACCAGAGCTCCCTGCTGTATGATAGACTAGCCTACCTAAAACCTGCACAGAATAGGCCTGGGATGTCTGGGAAATAGGTTGTCATTCATCAGTGGACTTAATTAATTCGGGGCAGACTTCTTGGATTGCTGTACTAAGAAGGATTCTGAGACTCCACGTGAGCTCAGGGAGAAAAAGTTCTGTGATTGGGCAGCCATTGGTGCAGAAGAGTGGTGGTGCGCTCTGATGGCTGTTACTTGGAGGTGGTAGATGCTGTCTTATTTTTCCAGCCCCTTCTCCCTTGTCAGATAGATTACTGAGCTGTCCGCTGGTTCACATGAGCTGAGGAAGTTCTGGCCCTATCATCTCCCTACTTTTCTCCACCCTACCTACCATAGGCTGGCAGACACCTGAGGTAGCACTCATTGACTCCCATAAGCTTTTGCGAAGCATCATCCTCCTGTTGATGGGCAGTGATGTGCTCTCGGTTCAGAAAGTGGCTGTGGAAACACCATTTCTGGACTACGGTGAGTCAGGAGGAGAATAGGGTCCTGTGGGAATGGGTGGTGGCATTGGCAGTTTTAGCTCCCCAGATTGTGAACCGTGACTGAAGTGACGATGTTGTCTCTCTCCTGCTTACAGGTGAAAATCTGGTACAAAAATGGCAGGTTCTTTCAGAGGTGCTGAGCTGCTCAGAGAAGCTGGTCTCCCGCCTGGGTCTCCTAGGCAGTGTGAGCGAAGCCAAGGCCTTTTGCTTAGAGGCTCTAAAACTGACCATGAAGCTGCAGATACCACACCAGTGAGTGCTGGGCAGAAGAGATCCAATTCTGGCACCTGAGGGCCACAGACTCTTGGTTTCCAAACTACTCCACATATTAACATGTTCTATTTGGAGGGGTTGGCAGAAGAATGTTTTTGATCGCTAAATAGAAGGAACTGCTGGGTTCCTCAAGGTCAGATGTTTTTATTTCCTATAGGACTTCTCATTTACTATGATACGCTAACATGCATTGCAAATCCCCAGAAAGGTTTGATTTGCCATGTTTCCCTAAATCTGTGCCCACAGGATTCTTTTTTTCCCAAGGAATGCAATTTAGGGAGCTGTGCTCTAATGCATGAGGATGAGTTGGGATGAGACAAAAGGGCAGCAGGCTTTCCCAGAAGCCTTTACATCAGCTTATGGAGTGAAAGCTTTTGAGAAAGAATGGTGGCCCTTGCTTGAGAAGGGGACAAGGAGAATGACCCTCTAGGAACACAAAGGATGCCACTGATGGTTCTCATCTCTTCTGCCAACAAGGTGTGCCCTGTTCCTGGTGCTAAAGGGGGAGCTGGAGCTGGCACGCAGTGACCTGGACCTCTGTCAGTCCGACCTGCAACAGGTTCTGTTCTTGATGGAGTCATGCACAGGTGAGCAAACAGGATCCCATGCTTGGTGTCGGCAGGAGTCCCACATGTCTACAACACATCTTTGAAAAGTTTGGTCCTCTTAGAACTCAGAGGTTTATTTCTGGTCCCAGGGTCCAAACAGCACTAACCCACCTACTTGGTTCTAGCTTTTTGTGCTGCCCAAGACATTTTGGGTATTGATATTTTAAGTTTAATTTCAATAAAATTAAAAATCCCAGCTCCTTGGTTATACTAATCACATGTGACTAGTGGCTGCTGTGTAGGATAGCACATAAAATGTACTGTTCTTGGAAGGGCTTACGCCAGGAGTAAAACATGGCATTTGTGGTAAATTTTTCCAATTGACCCAGTTTTACCTCTAGTGTATGTGACTTATATACAGACCCTGTGAAGTCACATGCAAACATAGGTTTGTTTGTTTTTTGGCCAAGTACATTCAATGTTTTGAGCTAGGATCACAGGGCTAGCTAGACAGGATCCAGAATTAAGACTTGGACCTCCTAGGTCATGCAGCTTCTGGGCTGCAGATGTGGGACTTTGTGGACTATGGAAGTGTGTGTTGATGCAGTTTATGTGGGCAGAAAATGTTAGGGTTTTATGTAAAAAAAAAAATCCATACTAATATTTAGCATGTTGTTGTTGGTGTCGTTAGGTGTCTTCAAGGTGATTCAGACTCCTAGTGACCACATGTTATATTTCAGCCCATTATTGTGGCCACTGTGTCATTACATCTTTTCCACTGACCCTCTACTTTACCCAGCAGGACTTGGTTTTTAAACAGATGGCACTTCAGGAAGCTTGGTACCATTTCTCCCAGTTTTGTAATTCTTGTTCTGTTCTCAGAGTTTTGTGGGCTAGCCCAGCACCCCGACTCTGTGAAGAAGGTCCACCCTCAAAAGGGGAAGCGGCAGGCCCGGGTCCGCTGCCCTCCAGAGCTCCCAGAGGAGGAGCTCTTCCTAAGAGGCCCGGCTCTGGAGCTGGTGGCCACTGTGGCCAAGGAGCCTGGTCCCACACCACCGTCTACCGTCTCCTCCCCGATCCTGAAAGCCAAGCCCCAGCTCAGCCCTAGCTTCCTGTCCCACTCACCCACCTGTGACTGCTCCCTCTGCACCAGCCCTGTCCTCTCAGCAGTCTGTCTGCGCTGGGCACTGGTCACAGCAGGGCTGAAGCTGGCTATGGGCCACCAGACCCAGGGCCTGGACCTGCTACAGGCTGTGCTGAAGGGTTGTCCCGCAGCCTCTAAGCGCCTTGCTCAAGCTCTGCAGACTTCTCTGAATCACAGACTAGTTCCCTCCCCTGTTCCAAGCTTCTTGGATGAGATTTTGGCTCAAGCATATACACAGCTGGCACTGGAGGGTCTGAGCCAGCCATCAGACAAGAGCCTGGGGAAGGTCCTAGAGTCAGGGTTGAAGTTTGTGGCAGCGCGGATACCCTTCCTGGAACCCTGGCGTGCCAGCCTGCTGTTGACGCAAGCCCTTATAAAGTTGGTTGGCCTCAAATGCTGTCCCACCCAACTGTTTGCAAACTCTTGGGACTGGCAACCAGTGGTTGTAAAGAATCCTCCAGCCTCAGAGATCTCTAAGACTCGGAACAACAAACATCTGGGAGCAGGGCACCAACAGATGACCTCTGCTACCCTGCCCTACCATAACACCTCCCTGAAAGGTCTGGAAGGTGGACCACCTTGTACACCCATGCCCCGGGGCCGGGTTAGGCAGGCTGGCCCTCGAATCCCCTTTACTGTGTTTGAAGAAGACTTCTCTACAAAGAGCAAGCCTGAGGTTCCTAAGGCCCCCAGGGTACAACAGAAGGTCCAGACTCGACTCAAGGTAAAGTGGGATTATGGCTAGGCTGTGTGTGTTGGGTTGGCATGGTCCTGAGGGAGGAGAGTTCTGCAGAGCAGGTATTCCCATGGATTACATTCGTAGGGGCCTGGGGGAACCTTAATCATTCCTGTTACCTGCCTGACCCCTGTTTCACTGTGAGACCTTGTTCCAAATCTACTTTTGTTTCACATGGAAGGACTTTCCTTAACTCTACTGTTCCTCTCACTTTTCATCCTTCTTATGTTCCCTTCTCTCCCTTCTACAGCCAAGAGGAATGGCCTCTGATAGAGAGTGGGCGAGTGTATGTGGGCGGTTAAGTCTTACATCTACAGTGCCACCTGCTGTCAGAAGGTGTGCTGCTGCTAAAGATGTCTTCTCCCTGTTCCAACCACCTCAGGTGAACTTCAGTGATGATAGTGACTTGGAAGACCCTGTCTCAGCTGAAGCAAATTTTTCTAAGGAGCCTAAGAGACGCAGCTGTGCTTCCCGGGGCCGGGGTCGGACTAGGAAGGGCTTGAAGACTAATGCAGTGGTTGCCCCAGATGGTGCTCTTGAGCACCCTGGCCTGAGTGGCAGGAACCGGAGAGCCAAGAAGGTGGTGTCAGGACCTTGTGAGGCGAGGGGTCCTGAGATCATGAGAACCATCCCCGAGGAAGAATTGGCTGACAGCCTGATGGAAATGAGCTTTGAGATCCTCAGGGGCTCTGATGGGGAAGACTCGGCCACAGGTACGTTATCAAGGGTGGTAGAAGGTGTGTGTTTCTTGGTGCCTGTCCTGGCATCAAAGCTGAAGAGATGGCTGGTGCCAGTGGTGGAACATAAAGAATTGCTTTTGTTGGCTCTGAGGGACTAGGTCCTAGAAGGGAGAACAAATGGGGATGGCAGAAGGAGGGGACTCTGAAAAAGTCATGTTCTCTCCAGCTCCAGGACCTGAAGCAACCATAGGAGAATGTGAGGTGCTGAGGCGAGATTTCAGCAAGGAGGAGCTTCCCACCCCGTGCCCAGACAAGGAGCGCAGTAGTTACTTCAGCCCTGGGCTCCAGCTCCCCTCGACCCCTGTAGCCATTGGTAAATCTGATGACTGGTAGTTTGGAGACAGCATCCTTCTAGGTCTCTTGAACCTAATGTCTTTCCTGCCTGTCCATGGTTCTGCCTTTGGACAACAATCTGGATCTGGCAGCCTTTGAACCTGTCAGCTGTGTGTCACTCACTTTCCCGCTCTGAGCTTCCATTTCCTTACTTGTAAAATGGAAGTAATAACCAGCCTACAGGGTTTAGGGGAGGATGGAGTGAGTTAATGCATAGAAGTTGCATGCCATCCTTGGTAAATGGGAGCTGCTACTTTTCATTTGGGAGGCAGGCATTCTTCCTTGGGGAATTCCCTATCAGGAAGAAGGTGATTCATCAGAAGACGGTTTTTGGCTTCTCTCTAGGTCTTTCCACCCTCGATTCCATCTGTGACTCACTGAGTCTTGCTTTCTGTGGGATCAGTCACTGTCCTCCTAGTGGGCTCTATGCCCACCTCTGCCGTTTGCTGGCCTTGTGCCTGGGCCACCGGGACCCTTATGCCACTGCCTTCCTTGTCACTGAGTCTGTCTCCATCACCTGTCGCCACCAACTGCTCACTCACCTCCACAGGCAGCTCAGGTGAGTGTCTGCTAAGAGCAGGGGGACCCGGGTTGGGACAGATTGGAGGAAGAGTCTAGATTTTAAAGGAGCAGGCAGCTCACCCCTCCCCATGTGGCCTGCAGCAAGGCCCAGAAGCACCGAGGAGCTCTCGAAGTGGCAGAGCAGCTGCAGCACCTGAGCCTCCAGGAGAAGGCTGGAGATGTCCCCCTGGCCCGCATCCAGCACCTCTTTTCCTTCAGAGCGTCCGGCTCTGGCCACTTCCCCCAGCCTGAGAAGGAGAGTTTCAAGGAACGTCTGGCTCTGATCCCCAGTGGTATGGTGGCAGGCTTCTGGCTTGCTCTTTTGTCCTTTAATGTGTCTCTTTACCAACAGGGTGTATGGAGGCATTTAAAGCATTAGTTCATTAACATCAATTTAGGATTCTTCTGGAAAGACATGTCATGTTTTCCTCTGTTAGCCATTTTTGTTCCTCTCACCAAAAAGACATAATCTTAAATCTAGATATCTTTTTTCTAAAACTCAACTTTATATGGTATCATTTTTTAGGGGTGGATGAGCTCAGCTGTTTGGGGTCTTCCTGCTTTAACATGAGATGTGTTAACAAATGACTTGAGTGCCTCATTTTGTGCAAGTTCTTTCGTTAGTTGCTGTGAAGTACAAGACATGGTCTCTGTCCACAGCGAGCTGTTAGGGCAAGGGAGAGCACGTTGGGCCACAGGCCAGGGAAGACTTCTTGACTTTGTAGATTGTCTTGAGTGCTGGCAAGGGATTACTGCAGGAGCCAGGGAAGGGGATTTCTTATCACAGCTGAAATGACTCAGGATATATCCCCTTATCAGGGGTGACTGTGTGTGTGCTGGCCCTGGTCACCCTCCAGCCTGGAACTGTGGGCAACATCCTCCTGCTGACCCGGCTAGAAAAAGACACTCCCCCAGTCACTGTGCAGATCCCCACTGCCCAAAGCAAGGTAGGTGTCCTAGGCCAGGGAGCAAAGTAGAGCGGGGGTGGGGGTGGGGGGTTAGTGTTTTGGCCAGGCTGCTCATGTTCTGTGGGTATGGGGTAGAGAGATGACAGAGAAGCAGAGCTCTCACAACCCCACCTTCCACAGCTTCCTCTGAGTTCAGCCCTGAAGGAGTTTGACGATATCCAGAAGGCACAGAAAGAGAACAGCAGCTGCACTGACAAGCGAGAATGGTGGAAGGGGCGGCTTGAACTGGACCATAGGATGGAGGTGTGTGTCCCAGGGTGGCTGGGGGCAGGCCTGCCTACCCTAGGAATGGCCCAAGGGATGCTGGTGTCTTCTTTTCTGGGCCCCAGTTCAGTGCTGAGTTACCTCCAGTCCTTCTGGACGGCAGAAATGAAAAATTAGGTTACTTGAGGAGGACTTTAAACCAAAGCCTCAAACTGGAAGGAGTTGGGAAAGAAGTATTTAAAGATACATAGAAGAAAAGGAACTTAAGACAAGTATCAGTCTGCAAAGTTGTTTGAACTGCAAGGTCAGTGGTGCAAGCTCACCAGCTGCTCCTTGGAAACCCTTTACAGGGTTGATATAGATCAGAATCAACTCGACAGCACTTAACAGCAACACTTAACAACAACATCAGTTTCCCGGACTCCCGGTGCTGCACTGTAGGATTAGCACTGGACTGTGAACCACATGTTGGCAGTTCAAACCCATCAGTTGCTCCTCGGAAATCCTACACAGGGTTGCTATGAGTTGGAATTTACTATGAGTTGGAACTTAACAACAGCAGCAGCAGCAGTTTCCCAGCTTGCCAGGCTGACCCTCGGTGCCACAAACAGTTGGAAGTCTTATTTATAATCTCCTAGAGTCTCAGCCAATGAATGTTTAGCGAGTTTCTTGACTTCCATGGTTGGCAGAAATATATACAAAACAACTAATACATGTTAGAGAACCCATTTCCTGGTTTCCTGAATGTTGGTGCCCACGGGGAAGCTTCCTCTCTGACTAAAGATCCTGTTGTCCTGCCTTCAGGTTCTTATCACATCCCTAGAGAAATATGTGCTGGGCTGCTGGCGGGGGCTGTTGCTGCCATCTGGTGAGGACCCAGGCCCTGCTCAGGAGGCTTCCCGCTTACAGGAGTTGCTGCAAGAGTGTGGTTGGAAATACCCCAATCCCACTCTGCTTAAGGTGAGTTAAGAAAGCAGAGAGCGGAAGCAGCAGCCAGCCTATGGACTGAGGAATTAATTCTTAGTGGATGATGGCCCCCACTAACTACTCTTCCCCTGTAGATTCTGCTCAGTGGGGCCAATGCCCTCACCTCTCAGGACATTCAGACCCTGGCTTACGGACTATGCCCAGCCCAGCCTGAGAGAGCCCGAGAGCTCTTGAGTGAGGCAGTAGGACGTCTACAGGGTCTGACAGTGCCTATTGACAGCAGTAGGCACCTGGTCTTGGTGCTGGACAAGGTGAGGATCTAGAGGGCGATGACAACATCCCATTCCTATATTCCTTCTGCTTGCTATGTCTCCCTGGCTGGGGAGAGTAACCTCGGAATGCCTTTTGCCCAGGACCTGCAGAAGCTGCCATGGGAAAGCATGCCCAGCCTCCGAGCACTGCCTCTCACCCGTCTACCCTCCTTCCGCTTCCTACTCACCTACTCTATTGCCAAAGAGGTGAGGCTCTGGGGCTGGGACTGAGGGTGACTGACTGAGGGAGACCCGGAGGAAGACAGAGGCAGGAAGCACTAGAAACTTGATTGGCTCTTAGAAATGAGTCACAAGTGGGAAGAGGCCTGGTTTGTGTGTGTTGGAGCTCGGACCTCCTGGACAGACCACAGGAACCTGATCGCTAGTGTCTTCTCCTCAGTCTGGGGCTTCGTCAGTGCTGAGCCAAGGTGTTGATCCGCACAGTACCTTCTACGTCTTGAATCCTCACAATAACCTGTCAAGCACAGAGCAGCAATTTCGAGGCACTTTTAGCAGGTCGGGGGTGTGGTTAAGAAAAGGGGGTGGGAAGGGTAGAGACACTATATCTCCTATACTGTAGCTCACCTTTTGCCCAGTGTCCCCATTGCCCTCTTTCCACATGACCCCTGCCATGCCATCTCCTATGTTTAACCCCTGCTTTTCCCCCTCCACAGTGAAGCTGGCTGGAGAGGGGTGGTTGGGGAGGTTCCAAGCCCGGAGCAGGTGCAGGCAGCCCTGACGGAACATGACTTATATATGTGAGTGCTTAGAGCAGGGAGACGGGAGGAGATTTACTTTGGGTGCTGGTAGGTCGAGGCTCATCTCAGGCCCTTCTGCCATAGCTATGCAGGACATGGGGCTGGTGCCCGCTTCCTGGATGGGCAAGCTGTCCTGCGGTTGAGCTGCCGAGCTGTGGCCCTGCTGTTTGGCTGCAGCAGTGCAGCGCTGGCTGTGCATGGAAACCTGGAGGGGGCTGGCATCGTGCTCAAGTACATCATGGCTGGCTGGTGAGTCTCATGGGGCCAACCCATACCTCTCTTATGCCTCACTTTCCTGTCATGGTAGCTTCCTGACATGCTTTAACCCTTGTAACTATGGGCCAAGGGAGTTCCTCATTAGTTCAGTCCTGTCTACTCACCTCACCCATCATGCCCAGTCATGTTTTCTTATGTACTGTTTCAAGTCCTTAATTTGTATTTCTCCCTTCTCTTTCCAGCCCCTTGTTTCTGGGTAATCTCTGGGATGTGACTGACCGTGACATTGACCGCTACACGTCAGCTCTGCTGCAGGGCTGGCTTGGAGCAGGTCCAGGGGCCCCCCTTCTCTATTATGTCAACCAGGCCCGCCAAGCTCCCCGACTCAAGTATCTTATTGGAGCTGCACCAGTAGCCTATGGTTTGCCTGTCTCTCTCCGGTGACCCATTGGATCTGTCATATCTCTGATAGAAGCCATGTGACTGTTTTACCTCCAAACTCAGTTTTAAATGATTTACCCATTATTTTATATGAAACATTTCCTTTTAACTGTAATATAAAATAAAGATGTGTTATTTAAACTTTATATGTAAGTTGTCTGAGAACATTTGAAGGCAACATTACTACCCTGCTCCTATTAAGTGATACTTAAGTGGGTGGGAACAGCTTCTAGTCTGAGAACCTTGGGAAGAAAGACAGCCACAGAACTGAGCTGCTAGGCTAGGCCTCAGCAGACACAGCTGAAGGAGAAGAGCATCAAAATACTCTTCAGCAGGGATAGAGGCCCAAGGAAGGTGAGAGATAGACCACTGAGAGCATCTTGGCCAATTATCATCATGTCTGTATCGTAGGGGTGACACTCTTCTAAGTGGATATTGGAGATAGCTGTTCTCTTCCCAGATACAGCTGTTACACTTATCAGTGCCATATACTTTAACAAGATTGTGAGTGGAATTCCCTATGTGTGTGGTTTTTGTCTTCCCAACTAGACTGTAAGCTTTTCTGAAGCACAAATAGCATCTTAAATTCTCATGTATCCCTCACACTTACATTTATATGTGTATTAGCGTCATTGAGTCCACTCCTACTCCTTATGTACAACAGAACAAAATATTGCCAAGTCCTGCACCATCCTCATAATCACCAGCATTTTCTAGTTCATCCTTGTGGCTAATATGCCAATCCATCTCACTGAGGGTCTCCATTCCCCTTCTTGGTTCTCATCTTCACCAATATGCCTTCCAATGACTCATCAGTTTCTCCTGATGAGGTGTCTAAATAAGCAAGTCAACATTCGGTTGAGAACCATAATGTCATCCTTGGATAATTTTAAAGAAGTGATTGCCAGTTCTTTCTTCTTAGCCTCTTTGAAAGCGGCACTAAAATCTGTCCACCATGGGTGACCCTACTGCTATTTAAAATAACCATTGGCATACCTTCCTGAATCATAGCAACATACAAGCCACCACAGTAAGACAAACTGGGTGGTGGATCTTATACAGCACGTGGTTAAACAGATTGTATTAATCAATAAACTCTGTGTTTTTCTTGTTAGTCTGTCTCCCAGACTCATCATCTGTGGAAGCACCATATTCATGATGCTACTCCCTCTGCCCAAAGAGCTTCCTATTTGCCTATCAGTTACTACCACCCACGTGGACTAGCATACCTTGCTTTGCAATGTTGTGGTTATGTCCTAAGTACTTATCTTTTAAGTTCCTAGAGGACAGAAGTCCTGTTTGCTACAACCTTCCCAACCAGGTTTAGGCTATTTTATAAAATGAGTAGAGTCGTTATCTTTAATCAGACTAGCGCTGGAGAGGTTCTCGCCACTCCTCTTCCCCTTCCCGGACGGAGGATCATAGAGATGTCTGGCGTAGCGAGGCGTAGCCATAGAGATGTGCAGTGGATGGCTAGAGCGTTACTCGCCAAGCCGGCTTTCCCTTCGTTAGCCTTCCTTTCCAACATGGCGCAGTCAGTTAACATCACGGAGCTGAATTTGCCGCAGCTAGAAATGCTCAAGAACCAGCTGGACCAGGTGGGGACCAGACCTTGACACACCTCTGCCTCCTCACAACCTCCCCTGCCCACACAACTTCCTCGCTCCCATTTCTCCCCAGTTTAAGTGCCTTCCCTTCCCAGGCGAAACCCTAACCCTGTCCCAGGACCCGCCCCCTCTCTGGTTGTGCTTCCCCTTCTCTCAAAAACCGGTACTGACCCTCTTTCCCGGCCTCGGTAGGAAGTGGAGTTCCTGTCCACGTCCATTGCCCAGCTCAAGGTGGTACAGACCAAGTATGTGGAAGCCAAGGACTGTCTGAACGTGCTGAACAAGAGCAACGAGGGTATGGGGTAGGCGGGTGAGGGCGACCTGGGAAATGTGGCGAACCGGCTTCATCTCGCGTCCCACCTCTTACTCAGTTTCCTTACCCAAGGCGAGAAAACATTACGTGTTGAATTCATGCTAGTATCAGGAATCCTTTGCCTGCTGCTTACCTAGAGTTGAAGTGTACAGGGCACTGTTTCTGTTCTTTCACACTATTCTGTGCCATTTTGGAACCCCTTTTAATGACTTAACGGTGCAGTTGCCAACCTTCTTCAGGTGTTTGTCTTCATTGTTTTCACAGGGAAAGAATTACTTGTCCCACTGACAAGTTCCGTATCCTTCCCACAAGATTGAACTACTCTCCTTTCCCTGGTAGGGGAGGGGAGTGTGTGTGTGTGTGTGTGTGTGTGTAGTCTTTTTCCTTATACCACAGTCCCCCATGATTCTGAGAACACTCTTAAGACACACATTTTCTAGTTCACTTAAGTAAGCTGAGGCCAACATCCCGCTAATTCTTTGTGAGTAGTAAGGAATATGTAGAGTTGAACTGTGATATTTCCTTGGTTGTTTGAAGAAACTAATATGTACATAAAATTGGTGCTTTACACTTTTGCTAGTGACCTAGATAGAGTACATAAACAAAAAAAGACCATCACAATAATAGAAGCAAAAGGATTGACTCTGATTGTTGTTGTTAGGTGCCATCAAGTCGGTACCAACTCATAGCGACCCTACCCTATCCTGGGCCAACCTCACTATTGTTACCACGCTTGAGTCTATCGATGCTGCCACTTGGTCAGTCCCTCTTGTTGGATCTTCCTCTTTTTCTCTGACCCTCCATCCTACCAAACATGGTATCCTTCTCCAGCGACTGGTCTCTCCTGACAATATATCTGAAGTATGAGAAACGAAGTTGAGCCATACTGGCCTCCTAGGAGCACTCTGGCTGCACTTCTTCCAAAACAGATCTGTTGGTTCTTTTGGCAGCCCATGGCACTTTCAATATTCTCCAGCACCATAACTCAAATGCGTCATTTCTTCTACAGTCTTCCTTATTTACTGTCCAGCTTTCGCATGCATATGCGGTTCAGGCGCCCTTAGTACCCAAGCTGACATCTTTAAATGTCTTCAACACTTTAAAAAGGTCTTGTGACTCTGATTATTAACCCTCAATTGCAGCTTAATTGTGGCTCTATTTCTTAATTGCCATCACTAAGAAATAAGGATTGTTGTGTTCACCATTTTAGTGTTTTGTTTGACTAAGCAAGTTGGTGGTTGTTAGATTCCATCCATTTGGTTCCAGCTCATGGCAGTCCTGTGCACATCCTAAGCACTGCACAGTCCGTTTCACCATCCTCACAGCTGATAAGTTTGAGCCCATTCTTGCTGTCACTGTGTCTATCCATCTTATTGAGGGTCTTCTTCTTTTTCACTGACCATTTTACCAGACATGATGGCCTTCCCCAGGGGCTTGTTCTCTGGACCACATGCCCAAAGACATCCTTGCTTCTAAGTAGCATTCTGGCTGTACTTCTAAGACAGATTTGTTTGTCCTTCTAGCAGCCCATGGTCCTTTCAGTATTCTTTGCCAACACCATAGTTCAAATGCATCAATTCTTCTATACTCTTACTTATTCATGGTCCTACTTACACATACATAAAAGGTGATTGAAAATACCATGACTTGGGTCAGCTACACCTTAAACTACATTTTTGCTCTTGAACACTTTAAAGTTGGCATTGTTGTGTTGTTATGTGCCGTGGAGTCGTTTCCGACTCATAGCAACCCTGCATAGGGTTTCCGAGGCTATAAATCTTTACGGGAACAGAAAGCCTCATCTTTCTCCCACGGAACGGCTGGTAGATTCGAACTGCTGACCTTCAGGTTCGTGGCCCGATATGTAACCAATATGCTACCAGAGCTCCTTAAAGTTAGCATTGTTGTTGTTAGGTGCCGTGGAGTTGGTTTCGACTCATAGCAAGCCTGCATAGGGTTTCCGAGGCTGTAAATCTTCACAGGAACAGAAAGCCTAATCTTTCTCTTGTGGAACAGCTGGTAGTTTCAAACTGCTGACCATGAGATTAGCAGCCCGATTCATAACCACTACGCTACCAGAGCTCCATTAAGGCTCTATAATTTCTAATCTGAGAACTGACAGAGACACACGGGGCTAGCAATGTAGAGGGAATGTTTAAATAATAAACACTAAGTCTGTTAGGAATTAGTTGGATATGTTGAGGGAATATGCAGCTGACTTTTTAACGTTTACTGCACTATACTTTCTGGATGGCTAACGAAAAGAATTGAACATTGCTTAGAGGGTGGAAGGTGGGGGTCAGGGCCAGAGAGTGTTCCATCATATATCATTGTCTCCACAAGGAACTAACTTTTCTCTCTCCCCCCCATAGGTATTCTAAAGCCTGTCGATGAGTCAATCCTGTGTTTTATAGCACTTTAGAAAAAGAGTGTCTTAGGAGGCTAATAAGGCTAGCTGATAGGGAACCCAACTCATGCTGGGCTAGTTTTTTCCTTAATCCTTCCTTATCAGATGTATGTTCCTGGAAAATTACATGATGTGGAACATGTGCTTATCGATGTGGGAACTGGCTACTATGTAGAGAAGGTGAGTTGGAGAAAACACATGGATGTTTCTCTAAGCAGGGAAAGGGAGCTTAGGGATCTCGATGCAGCATGAGGTCTGCTCTTATCCCCATTCACCTCTGACCTATACAGACAGCTGAGGATGCCAAGGACTTCTTTAAGAGGAAGATAGACTTCCTCACCAAGCAGATGGAGAAAATCCAGCCAGCTTTACAGGAGAAGCATACAATGAAACAGGGTAAGCTTGGCCTGGGGCACCTCTTGACCCTCTCTTTGACCTTCGTGATGGAAGAACATGGATTGCAGTATGAACTGTGGGAGTGTTCCCTTTGCTAGATTAAAATCATGTTTGTTTCTTTGATATTTTAGTATGTTACTGTTTAGGTATATGTTCCCTGTATTTGTACATCCCTGGTTGGGCGCTTGAGAATTTTAGAGGAAGGACATCATGCTTATATTCTTATGGAACTTTCTATTTAATTAAGCTAGAATGAGAGATAAGATGCATGTAAATGAACACACAGGAAGAAACATAGTTCTGACTAATTAACTATCAGCAGTTGTAGCCCTGGTTGCAGGTAGAATTACCTGTGGCGTTTAAAAAGACTGGGTATACTCTAGGACAACAAAATCAATTTAGGGAGAAAGTGGGTTCCCAGGGGTCAGGGTTTTTAAAAAGTTCTTCAGATGATTGTTACACAGACAGGATTTAGAACCACTTCTAAAGGCAAAAATCTTTACCGCTTTATGATTTTCTGGTTATGCCTGACTCGTTAAAAACCAGATTTTGAACCAAGATGCAGAACCAGAATGCAGAACCAAAAAATGTTTGAGGAAGAAAAGGTAATGGAATGAACTGTAAAGTAATTTGAAAGAATAATATTTAGGAAAGCAAGGAGAACACAGAAAAAACTTTGGAAGAATTCAGGAAAACATTACAAGATCAAAGAGACAAAATAAATGCCAGTACTGAAATAATACAAAATCTTCCATTAGAAATACTGAAGATTAATTAAAAGATTACAGAAATGGACAATACATTGAAAGGGCAAAGGAGTGTATTTGAAGCAATGGAAACTCGAAATAGTGAGCTTGAAGATAATACTAGAATTTTAGAATAATCAGCAAAAAGAATGGAAAAACCCAAAGAAAGTCTAAGAGTTATGTGGGATAGATACCATGAAGAGAAACAAGTTTGGGTGATTGGAATTTCAGAACAGGAAGAGAATTAAAAGCACAGAGAAAATTGTTCAAAAGTTGTTGGAGAAAACATCCCTAACATCATGAAAGACAAGAAGGTAAGTATACGACAAGCTGAGTGAACTTTAAACAGGATAGATCCCAGAAGAAAATCACCAAGACACATCATAATCACTTTCCAAAACCAAAAACAAGGAAAGACTCCTGAGACTGAGAGCAGCTTTGAAAAAAGGAAAAGTTACATATAAAGGAGAACCAGTAAGACTAAGCTCTGGTTTCTCCCAGAAATCATGCAGGCAAGAAGGCAATGTGGTGATATATACAGAATTCTGAAAGAAAAAATGCCAACCAAGAATCATATACCCAGCAAAACTGTCCCTCAAATAATGATGGCAAAATTAGGACATTTCCTGGTACACAGAAATTAATGGAATTTGTAATGTTGAGACCAACTTTACAAAAAATGGTAAAGGGTGTTCTTTGGACTGAGAACCAACAACATCAGACAAAAACTTGACATTACCATACGTGACAATGTCACTCAGAACTCAAAAGTATTTAAAGTAAAACAGACCTAACAAGACTGAAAATAGGGAACCAGAGATGTCAATTTATAATGGTCAACTACAGAACAAAAAGAGGGAATAGTGTAGATATGGAATTTCCAAATGGCTAGGAAGTCTAATAGATTGCAAGATAAAACAGACTGTTAACAGAGATGCACCACCCACCAATACTGTAGTTGCAGCTGCTTGGGGCTTGCACAGACCCTGTCTACCTGAATGTAGAATGAGCCAGGGAGACTTAAACCCAGCAGCTATTGTACATGCAACTGAACATATTCAAGATGACTGATGGATGTCTCAGATTTGTCCTGGACCATAAAGACAAAGAGCCTGATGTAGTATTTGTGGCAGATTCCATGGTGCAGTTAATGCAGCAATACGAAATACGGTGAGAACTTTTTTCCCTGCTTCATGCAGAAGCAGCAGCAGCAGCAGGTAGGATCGAGGTCATCTTACAACTTACCAGTACAAGGCAGCTAAAGGCCAGGGTCATTGTACTGAGTTTGTTACTTCAAGGTGAGAAGCCCAACCCTTTGAGGCAGAAGAATACCAAGCTAAACCAGCTTCTCAAGGTTTCTCTGCTGAAGCTTGCCAACATTCAGCTCCTAGATACAGATGGGGGCTTTGTGCACTCAGTGCCATTTCCTGTCACAACATGTTTGATTTTCTGCATCTCACAGGAAGGGGGCTATGCAAAGATCTACAGATTTTTCCATGAATTGGTCATGCAGTTGTTGGAGGAAACAGCTGAGGAGAAGCAAACCACCATTGCTTGACTGGCTCCCATCAGCATTCGTCCCATCACAGCTTCAGAGCAGTTAGATCACTAGCACTACAGAATCCTCCTCTCTCTTAAAGGCACTTTGCATTGTAGGATGTTCTTCTTAGAAGGACTTAAACTGATCCTGTACATAAAAGGTTTGTTGTTTATAAGTCATTTGAAACTCCAAGGGGACTTTTAGTTGTTTATGTGACATGTTCATTGAATTATTCCTGTTTCCTAGAACAACATCAGCCTAAGTACTGAACAGTATGAAGATTCTTTTCTTGGCCTTTCTTTCTCTGGATTATGTTATGTATACTCAGATTCACACCCACTTGACTTTAAAACAGGTATTTTTTTCAGTTAAGGTTTATATTTTAGCCTTTTTACTTTATTCATAATGTATTCTCAAGTTTTTGTAACGAATACATCAGATGCACCATGATTGCCATTCAGATATGGGATGCTAATAAAGTTGCTCCACTCTTCATCTTCTGCTTAGCAGTGAAAAGCAGCTTTTGCCCCATTTGGGGATCCTTTGGAGGGTTTTATGTGCTGCTGAATATCTTTAATATTGTCTTTAATAGGCCCATGCATACACCCCCCCTTTTTTTGGCGGGGGGTATCCTTATTGACATTATAAGCTTTTATCACAATTTTGGCCTAGGTACTCTGTTACTGGAAGTGTTAATCCCCAGCAGTTATTCATGATATTATTGCTATGTAATGCATTCTTGTGTGTTGTTCTGTGATAGAGTTTTTATGGTGGTGGTGATGTTAGCCGTCATAGCGACCCTGCATAGGGTTTCCGAGGCTATAAATCTTTACGGGAGCAGAAAGCCTCATCTCTCTCTCCCGCGGAGTAGCTGGTAGTTTCACACTGCTGACCATGAGGTTAGCAGCCCGACTCATAACCACTACGCTATCAGAGCTCATTAGAGAGTCTGTGTAGTGCTATCCATATTTAAAGTTCTGATTTGGTTGGTTTTTCCCTTAAATTCTGTAACAATTACATATTTTTTGAGGGGTGGGTGGAGAAGAAATCAGAACTCTTGCTTCTTGCTCCATACAGCCTGCATTATTTCAAGTTTTTATTAGTCTCTTAAGGTATATATTTTACTTTTTTATTGGCTTAATTTTTAAAGTATGTCAGTCCAAAACAATTTAGTCTTTTCCAATGGAGAAACAAATGAAGCATATTCCGTTGCATCGTTTCTGTAAAAAAAGAACTAAGTTTGTTTAACTTATAATTAATGTTTCCCCACCATTGAGAATTTATTCACAAGAAAGCTCTTTATGGTTTGCTTGAGTTACAAGAGCTGCCATTAAATAAAAAAAAAAAGGGACTGTATATGGTTTAACCTATGGAATATATACAAACTAGATCTACAGATATTTTTAACTGGACCACATGGGTATTGAAGTAGCCAATCAAAATGTGCTTTGTAATGATTCTGTGTAATGCTCAAGTCCAGTAGCTTTAAGGCATATGTTTTATGTTCTGCTTGCAAGGCAAGTGGCTATGCTTTGTTACGTTGTGGGGATGGGGTCAGCTGATATGTGCTAAGACTCATTTGTGACTGAGAGGGATAGATAGGGCTTAGGCTAATCCTTTTCTTGTTGGTGCATCTTTCCAGGTTTGTTTGTTTGTCTTTTTTTACTATACCTTTTCTGAATGTATCCTGTCTTCATTAACAGTACAAGATAATACGTGGTGTAGACTAAACTTGTTTACTTGTTGAAATTCCCTTTTTATTGGTAGTAGCTCAGGTTCTTGAGTTTTTTAAGACATTTTTTTCTGAGCTGTGGAAGGAAAATTAACTAAGCTAGAATTTTGTGTGTGAAAGGATACTTTTCATATTCAAATCATTTATCAGGTTCTGAGAGTGGCATGTGACCAAATAGTCCATTAGGTTACCTCTGTAATATATACAGTTAACTTCTCTACTGAATGAACATCAGATACCCCTTTGTGAGTTGGCCTTCAGCTCCATTTACTTATGTGCATAACCCTTAGATATTGTTGTTGTTGTTAAGTGCTGTGGAGTCGATTCTGACCCATAGTGACCCTGTATAGAGTTAACACAGAGCAGCTGGTGAGCTTGAACCGCTGACATTGCAATTCAAATGGTTTTGCAGTCTGGCCCATTAACCCACAGCACCACACTAGGACTCCTCTTTATATCTACCAGGTTGTCACTATGGGTCGGTACCAATTCGATGACAGCTAACAACAACAACATTCAGGCAGTAGTATTTAAAACACTAGTCTTTTAAGTCTAGGAAGATACTGACTCCACTTTCATTTCACTTTTTTTTTTCCACTTTGATTTCTTGCCAGACTTCTGTGCCTAAAAGGCATCCCAGTTTGCTACAGGAACAGAATTTAAATGCTTAGTCTTTGGACTTTTCTCTGTATTCCCCTTCATCACCCCCCCCTCCCCTCGCCTTTTTTTTTTAGTTCCATTACAAAATACACTGTCCAAGTGAAAAAAACAAAAAAACAACCAGGGAAGAAATTAATAAAGGATAGGATAACCTCAAAGAAAATGCACTTGCACATCAAAATTAAAAAAAGGAAAATCCAAAAGACTTGTAAACATTAACAAAACAGCAATGAAGAAAAAGAAGAGAAAACCCACAAACAAAAATGAACTCAGCACAGAAAATTATGTGGAACAAAGAAACCAACAGCATGCAAAAAAAAAAAAAAAACCACAGCAAAATGACAGCAATCAATTCATGCCTATCAATAATTACACTAAATGTCAATGGAGTAAATGCAACAGTCAGGATACAGAGCAGAATGGATAAGAAAGCAGGATCCTTCCATGTACTGTCTACAAGCGACACACCAAAAAGAGACAGCCTAAATGCCTATCTGGTAGCGTAGTGGTTACGAATCGGGCTGCGAACCTTAAGGTCAGCGGTTTGAAACTACCAGCCGCTCCATGGGAGAAAGATGAGGCTTTCTACTCCCATAAAGATTTACACCCTCGGAAACCCTGTACAAGGTCGCTATGGGTCGGAACTGACTCGATGGCACTTAACAACAACAACAACAAATGCCAATCAACAGAAGAATGGTTAAAAAGGGGTGGGGGTGTAGAGGGATAGAATTATTCCTGGGCTAGAGGGTAGACACATTAACATGGGTAATGGGGCAGGCAACATACAGTAAGAGGGAGGTTAGAGGGAAAATGAAGGTACTGTGTAACACAGGGAGGACTAGTTACGTGAATAGAGGTAAATGCTGTCAACTATTGGTACATGGAGGGGACTGCAATCATTGTAATGTAGCAAAGTATATGATTTGCTGAGTGTAAAACTGATGATTTGCTCTATAAACCTTTATTCAATTCACAATAAAAGTTAAAACAGATTTTGTTAATGTGTTGGCTGAGGATACATTGTGAGCGCTGACCTTTTGTTGGTGTGTGTTCTCTGCAGTAGATCGCTGTTTTTTATTAACACACTGTAAGTAATTTTCTCTGTGTCTTTAAACTTCCCTATCATTTTTCCCTAACCCTAGGTTCTGAGAAGTTGGGTTCTCATCAGGGTCTGACGACTCCTTTTTCTTCCACAGCTGTCATGGAGATGATGAGCCAGAAGATTCAGCAGCTCACAGCTTTGGGAGCAACTCAGGCTGCTGCCAAGGCCTGAGTTTTACTGCAGACATGGAGCAGAAAAACCGTTTCAGGGGCCTTGTGACTGTGGGCATGGCCTCCTGGTGTGTGTGTGTGTGTGTGTGTGTGTGTTGAATGTGGGGCTTGGGGATCTTGTGGATCATGTGTTTAACTTTAATAAATGTGCCAGGTGAAACAAATTTTGGCTTTTAAAAAAAATTTTTTATTAATCATGGACTGGGGGTGGGGTGCCGTAGAGGGCAAGATAAGCTGAGGTGAAGTAGGCTGAAAAAATTTCAGTATATACTTGTTAAAGTGCCTTCCTAAGTACTTTTTTGCTGAGCCGGTTGCTGTGGGAACGGACGGCAAACGGAAGTGAGCCGCATGGGCACTTCCCCTTCCGGGTTGCCAGTCCCGCTTCCCCGCCGGTGGCTTCTCATGAGCCATCGCTTGTTGCGCCGCCTCGTGCTGCAGCTACAGCCGCTGTCCCTCCGAGTTCTGCACCGCATGCTCTGCCCGGAGTCTATCCCGCCCCACAAACGACCCCTTGGCGACTTAATGGCACCTCCCCGAATTGGGACGCACAACGGCACCTTCCACTGTGATGAAGCGCTGGCTTGCGCGCTGCTTCGCCTTCTGCCAGAGTACCGGGTACGGTTCAGCAAGACCCTGAGTCAGCCCACCAGACTTCTAGGCGTCCCATCCCGCCCTTGTAGCCTTTAGATGGCCTGAGCACCCCTTCTTCCCCGGAAAACCAACATTAATCCCTTGTCCACGGGACTATTGGCAGCCACCTCATCTCCTGTGTACTCCGCAGGATGCGGAGATTGTGCGGACCCGGGACCCCGAAAAACTAGCTTCGTGTGACATCGTGGTGGATGTGGGTGGCGAGTATGACCCTCGGAGACATCGATATGACCATCACCAAAGGTGGGTTTCCAGTTCTCATTTCCTTAAGTTTGTTGACTTGCTCTACCATCCACTACTGTGATCCTTCTTAGTGAAGGCCACTGCCTCATCACTGAAATCATATTCTGATGCCCCTCTGGGACGACAGCCTTTCACCCTTGGACTGCCTGCTGCCCATCAATTACCTATGCTTAGACTTCTGAGCTCTCCAGTCAGGGCACACCACCCTTGGCTCCCCATCCTCAGGCCCCTCATTTGGCTTAGGCTTTTCTCTCAAAGTACATTCATCACCCCAACAATACCCTATGTGGCTTCATCCATTCATCTGCCCTTGCTGCCCCCTACATACCAGGCTGGTTGGGGCCCTTGGTTGTGGAGTGAGATGGTTCTGATGTGTTTACACTTTTACTACACTTAGGTTTCCCAGGAATAGAGTCTGTCTTGTCCATTTGAATCCTTTTTCTCCCTGCTTCTCAAGCTCCTCAGTGATTTACAATTTCAGAGAAAATTGAGGTTTTCCTTAATGGACTTCCTCAGTTTCCCACTTCCTTCTTCCAATTCAGGAAAAGTGTTACTTTCAGTTAATCCTTTGCCCTTGTTTCAGTCTATTACTTTCTCCTGGGGGACTTCCAGTCATGATATCCCTTCCAGTGTTTTCCACTTTTCCTAATCTACAGCCTAAAACTTTGCTTGAAGCATCTTCCATCTTGAAAAAAAGAGTGAATTAAAAAAAATAAACAGCCCTCCCTAAAATACAAGTATCTCTGGTTACTGTGGTAGTGTAGTGGTTATGAATCGGGCTGCAAACCTTAAGGTTAGCAGTTTGAATCTACCAGCCTCTCCTTGCGGAAAAAACATGAGCTTTCTGCTCCCAAAAAAGATTTACAGCCTCAGAACTCCAATGTTAGCTCTGAGTCAACATCACACAGTTAATAGTTGTTTTCTCTGAGGCATTATAAGGATGTTTTTAAGTTTCTGTATTTCTGTTTTTAACACTGTACTTACTTTATTAATTGGCACTCTACAAATTTAAATGAACCAAAAAAAACCAAAAACCTCACTCAACATTGGACTGCTAACCACAAGGTCAGCAGTTCAAATTCACCAACCACTCATTGAAAACCCTCCGAAGGGTCACTGTGAGTTGGAACCAACTCCATGGCATTTAACAACATCTATTCGCCATACTCACGAGATGACTGAGCTACTAGGTTCCACCAAGATCAAGTTCTTAATGACAGACCAGGCCCCACTACTCCATGATGAACCGCACAGGATTTGATGATTTTATTAGCAAGATGACATACTACTCACCTTTTTCTCTTTCTGAAAACCAACGTTCTGAATTCCGGAACATTTTCTATAACAATCTGTTAGGAGTTAATGAGGAAAGGGATCAGCCTCCCTTCAAAGGAATAGTTGACCCTGGCTCCACCTCTTCCTTCAGATGCATTCACACCCCAGCCTGCTGAGTGTTTCCCCCTCAGTGCTTCATGGGAGCTGCTCAGGGAAAGAGCACTAGTGGCCTTGCTGCCAAATTCATAGTTGCTTCAGGGTCTTACTGGAGCTGACCTCCTCTGGCACTTGCTATTAACTATCCCCCCTCTTCTTTATTATTTTTTTTTCCCTCCTGTTGATAAGTGCCGACGAATCTGTTCTGACTCATAGTGATCCTGTATAGGGCTTCCGAGGAGCTGCTAATAACTTTGAACCACTGACCTTGAGGTCAAACCTGTATGGTCAAGCGCTTAGTCTACAGTGCCACACCAGTTATTTTTGACATACATTTTAAGTTTTACCATATCTTAAGTATAAAATGAACACTGATGAACTTATTTCTCTAAGAATGAGGACACTGTCATTCCCTTTGCATCTGTACCTGTGTGCTGCTTTTCTGTCCCGCTCCTGCCTTCCCCTGGAAGCAAACAGTATCTTGTAGTTTGTAGTCATCATGTTTAAACAATATAGTTTTATTTCTGAACTTTTTTTGGGAGGGGGGTTATTATATCACTTGTCTTATACCTTATAATTACTCTTTCATATTTATTGACTTGTTAAGTGATGTCGAGTCAGTTTTGACTCATAGCGACCCTGTGTAGGCTTTCCAAGTAGCTGGTGACAGACCCTAAGGTTCAAACAGACCTTATGGTCCAGTGCTTATCCTACAGCGCCACACCAGGATTCCTATTATTTAATAATAATAAAAAATTAAAACAAAAAAATGAGCCCCTTAGGTGATTCTGATGGACTCATATCTAGAAATCACAGCTGCCATTTCTACTTATCATGTATTACACATATTATCTGTCATGCTGCTATTAAAATTCTTGCCTTCGTCATGCACTGAGTCCATTTCAGGTAATCTCTCTGCACCCATTCTCCATGCTAGCGGGCACAATGCTCCTTCAAACATGCATTTGACTGCTCAAAAAACTCCTTAGTGGCTTCCTGTTATTTATAGATAAAGTCCAAACTCCTAAGCATGGCATCTAAGGCTAGCTATGATCTGGTCCATTTGTCCTTACAGCTTGATCTTTTGCTACTCATGTCCCACACCCAAGCTGCCATTTCTTGGTAGCTGTAGAGACCTGTTTCTCTGCCATTGTACATTTGTCTCCTGTGCTATGTCTTGCACTCTCCTAGTCTGTCTGGTGCTTACTCACTGATTATCTTTCAGGACTGACCTTAAAGGTCTTTTTCTCAGAAGCCTTTTCTCATCCACTCCCTTGGTTTATATCTCTAGAGCACTTGCTTGGTTGTGCTCATTTGCCTCCAACTGATAGTAAATTCCTTGAAGGCAGGGAGGCTTCAAGTAAAGGTCCATGTTGGTCCTTGAGGAAATGCCAAAAGCTTCCTAGTTGAGCTTTCTTCTCCCAACTTGTGCAATACTCTCCACATGCCACCTACTCACCCACACTGTGGAGTGAATGGGGCCCACCCCTTCACCTCAACCCCATCTTCCTCTGCTCCTCAGGTCTTTCAATGAGACCATGAGCTCCCTGTCCCCTGGGAAACCTTGGCAGACCAAGCTGAGCAGTGCTGGACTCGTCTATCTGCACTTCGGGCACAAGCTGCTGGCCCAGTTGCTGGGCACTAGTGAAGAGGATGGAATGGTGGGCACCCTCTATGACAAGGTGGGGACCTGAGGACAGAGATGACTCCATGCATCTTCACCAATCAGCAGGGAGTGGTGCTCATATAGCACTTGGACCAGGGTCTCAGGAGGTCAGGGCTACTGGCCCTAGTACTCACCCTCTCCTCAGTCAGGCTCATCCTCACACAAGAGGATGGGAATAGCGCCCCTATCTACATCCTGGGTTGGTTGTCAGGCGTGGATAACATACATAATATATAGGGAAGGACTTTGAAAACCATACACAGTGTTTCTCAGTCTTTTTCTGGACCAGCACACAAAAAAACCTGCACAAAAAAACCTGCACAGCACACTTGGGTAACTGTGGGTAGGGTGTGATTATGACAATACCTTCAGGATCCAGCAGTGTCCCCTGTGACCAGCACAGCAGATTCCTGCTGCTGGGGAAGGAACAAGGCATGCATGACAGAGCAAGGCTGCAACACCTCAAGTTCAAAGGCAAACCTCCCAATTCAGCCCCTCTTTTTTCTTGCACAAAAACTGCCAAATACAGTTCTGTCTTGGCTTGCCAATTTTTTGCCCCTATTGGCATAGCTTAGTATGCTCCCAAAAATGAGTCAGGAATAGATCGCGTAAAAGCTTTGAATATCAGTTTTAAACTGTCTGGATCAATTTTCCCTTCTACTTCTGAGGAGCTTCTAAGCAACTGACTAAATTAAAACCAAGTTTTAACAGAATCAGGCTCCGAGATTCGCACTCTGTCTCCATTGCACTGACGTACTGATACGCAGTTCCAGATTTGTAGGGCATCTCTGTATGAAATACCTCCTAGAATATGGGTTTACCCCCAAAGTCACATGTATGCTCACAGCATGTTCATTACAACCAAAAAATGGTAATCACCTAAATGTCTACCAACTAATGAATGTTTAAACAAAATGAGATGTCTATACAATGAGTGTTATTTGACCATAAAAATGGAGTACTGCTGTGTGCTTACAACGTGGATGAACCTTGAAAACATTATATTAAGTGAAAGAAGCCAGACACAAAAGGTT